TTCCCCAGAATGAGTGAGTTTAGCTGGCAAGAGTTCTGAAGCCTGGATTTGGGGTTATCTGCTTCTATCCAAGACGATACTTCTCTTTCGTGGTATCTTTGGATGTACATGGTTCGGTCTTCAACGGTGCAACACCACTCGGGATAACCAGAAGACTCTTGTTTAATTTTCAGAAACATGTTGATGTACTCTGTGAACAACCCTCCTTCTCCAGTCTCGGGGTTGTAGGTTGCCGACTCATCGTAATGCCAAAATTCATATACCTTGGTGATGTGATACCCTACTTCTTCAGCCTTTTTCAATTCCGGAGTGCACCAAACACCCGTCAGTTGACGTTCATTGACACTGTGGTGACATTTGTCTTGATTCATGGTTTCCGCGCATTTGGAACAGAGTGGGAACATCAGTTTGTTGTTCACCCTGAAAGGTAGAACTGGTATATACAATTTCCTCGGAGGTAAAACATTGCACTTGATAATACCGAAATAGTCCGTGGGTTTGACGATAAAGTCTTTAGTTACGACTGTTGGGTGGCCAACTGGATATCGCAAGGTCTTATTGATGTATGGGTAGAGGCTGCAAAAGTCAACATATTCTATCTTTTCGCCTTCCTTGATCTCGTAATACAGATGCAGAGCATTAGTACGACCGCCGAGAAAAGCCTCTCTGCCTCTGATAGGATTTGAGATATCTAAGTTTTTGACAAACCTCTCGACTTTGTGATTGTTCTTCATCAGGTTTTTGAAATCACATTCCCACTTGGTGACTAGCGAGTATCCTTTCATAGAGGGATGTCATACTGAGTTCATTCTTGCGATTCGTTTCATTTCTTCTGGGAAAACACTTTGGGCACCCGTGGAAGTAACAACCGTAGTACTCATACAAGGTTTCGGTAGAAGCATCATATCCGTCTCTTCTGGAATTACGAACATGTTGAATACGCGTATTATTGACGTGTGCCTCGTATTCCATCCATCTTATAGCATCTGCGGATTGATTCTGGGTGCTGAGATAACCTTTCCCAGGCACAACACCGATTGTATCAGTAGTCAGGAAATTCTTTCAAAATATGACGTTGCACACGGAGGCGATCGTGATGCAACAGCTGAAAGGGTCAACTTCGGTGAGATCCATCATCATCGATCTAAATGCCAAACAACACTCTTCGAGTATGCGTATGTCACTCCGACAGTACTTGAGCAGTTCTTTACGTAAATCATAAACAGAGTTCTTTTCTACTTCTCCATTGTACAATGTGTAGAATTTCTTTCTAACCTCCTCCTTCATACCATCTGGGTCAAAATAACGATCCTCGGGTATCGGTCCTCTGTAACTGTCTCCAGCGGTTCTTGGAAACAGGTGGGGAAAAAAGCCTTTGTGTAACTCGTCTATGCCAAAGGTCTTAGGAAGTTTAGATAGAGCCATGGGCAGGAAATTCAAGCTATCAATGAATTTGATATCTGCACGATGGATGTATAGTTGCATGACTTTTGAACCATTCATGATGACTTCGGGGAGTATATTGTGATCGTGACAGTATTTCAGATCATAATTCCATCATATCCCTTTGAATTATGTGCGATGAAAATCATTCCATTATGCTCTTTTTCTAACGCCCACTCGCAGAATCTTCCAAGG